CAGCAACCGCGGTGGCGTCAGTTGAGGCCCCAGTAGTTTGATGATGATCAGGTCGACCCTGGGGTCCACAACCTTCCCGACCAGTGGGACCCATCCGAGAAGGCCCCGCTTCAATATTAATATCAACTGACATAGGAGAATAAAATAGAATGAAAAAAACAGATAAAAAATGAGTACGCTTATATTTGTGGTGTTTTCAATAGTAAGAGAGACAATTGAGACCCTGTGTTGGAGGTGTTATGTTGTATTGGAGGTCATGTTGGTGCTATGTTGTATTGGAGGTCATGTTGGTGTTATGTTGTGATGGAGGTTACGTTGGTGTTATGTTGTGATGGAGGCCATGTTGGTGTTATTTTGTGATTGAGGTTATGTTGGTGTTATGTTGTGATAAGAACATAAGAACATAAGAATGGAGGAAACTGCAGCGGGCCTATTGGCCCATACTGGGCAGTCCCGTTTACACCCAACCCCTATTGCTCATATAAGCATCCAACCTATGTTTGAAGCTATTCAGCGTATTCGAGTTAATGATGATATTTGGTAACTTGTTCCATTCATCCACTACTCTGTTTCCAAACCAGTGTTTACCGATTTCACGCCTAAATCTAAATTTATCTAATTTAAAACCATTGTTACGAGTTCGCTCCTGGTTGGACAGTTTGGGTACCTTTGTAATGTCCCCTTTGTTTAGCCCTGACTTCCACTTATACACCTCTATCAGGTCGCCCCTCGCTCTACATCTCTCGAGGGAGTGCAAATTAAGATGCTTTAACCTGTCTCTGTATTCAAGGTTCCTAATGCCCGGGATTAGTCTTGTCATTCTCCTCTGAATTCTTTCCAAGGATTCTATATCCATTCTGTAATACGGTGACCAGAACTGAACTGCGTAATCCAGGTGTGGTCTCACAAGAGCAAGATACAGTTTTAGGATGACCTCGCTAGTCTTGTAACTAACACTCCTTTGTATGAACCCAAGTACTTTATTAGCCTTGTTACGAGCAAAAACACATTGTTTACTTGGCTTAAGGTTCCTACTTATCATTACTCCTAAATCTCTCTCGCAGTCGGATTTCTCTATGACATCTTTGTTCATCTGGTATCTGGTTTCCCTGTTTACATCTCCTATACTGAGTACTTTACATTTGTCCACGTTGAATTTCATCTGCCATTTTTCAGACCATTCGAAAGATTTGTTTAGATCTTCCTGTAGTTTTGCGGAGTCGTCGTCATATTTAATAACACGTCATATTTTAGTGTCATCAGCAAATTTGCTTATGTTGCTGTCTATGCCGATATCTATGTCGTTTATGTATATAATAAATAAAAATGGTCCAAGTACTGAGCCTTGGGGAACTCCACTAGTGACGTTGCTCCAATGGGACTTAGTGCCATTAATGCTCACTCGCTGTTTCCTGTCCTGTAACTACGCCCTAATCCATTTAAGGATATTACCTTCGATGCCATGTGCTTCTGCCTTTCTAATTAGACTTTCGTGGGGGACTCTGTCGAAGGCTTTGCTAAAGTCGAGATATACCACATCATAATTGTGCCCCTCGTCCACCGATTCGAGAACTGATGAAAAGAATGTTAATAGATTAGTTAGACATGAACGTCCGCTTGTGAAGCCATGCTGGGAATCATTGATCAATCGGTGCTTCTCCAGGTGATTTTGAATAGAGTTTGAAATGATTGCTTCCAGTAATTTGCCTACTATTGATATTAGACTGATTGGGCGGTAGTTAGAAGATAGTGATCTATCCCCTTTCTTGAAAATCTGTATTACATTCGCTATCCTCCAGGATTCTGGTACTACACCTGTTTTTAAGGACATGTTAAACAACTTTACTATGGGCATACTTAGCTCTTCCTTACATTCCTTTAATACTCTGGCAAATATCTCATCGGGACCAGGTGACATATTAGGCTTTAGTTTGTCTATTTGCTTACTAACATCGTTACTAGTCACTACTATCTCGCTTAATTTGTTTTCTTCACTTTCTCTGAATAGAGTCGGTGCATCGGGTATCATGTTTAAATTTTCGGTGGTGAAAACTGTTGAAAAATATTTATTCAAATTATTGCTCATTTCTCTGTCGTTATCAGTGAGCTCGCCGGTATCTAACCGTATTGGTCCAATCTTTTTTCGTGTTTATTTTGATACATTTGGTAAAATCCTTTGGGGTTTGTCTTCGCCTCCCTTGCTATCCTTACCTCATTATTTCTCTTGGCTTTCCTTACCTCGGTTTTAACCCTACTCGCCAATACCCTATAATAATCCCGGAGGTAAATTTCGCCACGATTTATCCTTCTACCTATAGCCTTCCTTTGGCCAATGATGTTCTTTAAATAATTATTTATCCATTTAGGGTCATTGTTGTCTGATCTGAGTTTTTTGTATGGTATGTTCTGCCTCCGTGCATTAAGCAACTCATTATTTAAATTGTCGTGGAACTCTGCAATCTCAGATCTCGTTATGAGGTCGGTGTCATCTGTCAGGTTCATGGCCAAGCGCGACACCCCCTCTTTCAGCTGCCTCTTTAAACTGTCAAAGTCTGCCCTGAAAATCTAACTGGAATCTAATTTCTTTGTGATCGCTGTTTGCAAGTTCGTTCCCTACCTCGACATTGCTAATGAGATTTTCTCTGTTTGACAGAACTAAATCGAGTATATTATTACCCCGGGTGGGTTCGGTTATATGTTGACTTAGGAAACAGTCCTGGATCGTCTCGAGAAATTCCTCTGATTCTGGGTTACCCGTAAGGTCAGTCCAATCTATTTGGCCAAGGTTAATGTCGCCTACTATACAGACTTTGTTGTGTATGGAAGCCCTGCGCATTTCATCCCAAATAAGTCGCTCATTGACTCTATCAAGATTGGGAGGTCTATATATCACTCTTGTGATTAATTTTTCCCTGCCGTCGATTAATTCTATCCAAATTATTTCTGTATTCCGCTCAGTTTTTATTTCCTTATTTATTACACATTTCAGATTTTGCCTAACATAGATTGCTACTCCGCCTCCTTTCCTGGCCTGCCTATCGGTATGGAACAATTTGTAACCCGCAATTTGGTATTCGACTGGTAACTCACGTGAGTCTAGGTTGATCCATGTTTCAGTGAATGCTATTATATCGATTTTTTCGGTACATACCAAGGCCCTAATATCATCCATTTTGTTTCTCATACTTCTACTGTTCGAGTAATAGACATTTAAATTAGTCGTGTTCTGAGTCCTCCCCTTACCGGGTTTAGTTTTAAACTCCCTGTCTAATTTAGTTTTGTCATCATTCCTAACACTATTTCCCTGTAATCTTTCACTTTGTTTACCCGCTCCCACTGCAGTCTCCTCCACCCCCGTGCCCATATGTTCCCCTAGCAAGTGCACCCCATCCCTAGCATAAAGGCCTCTTCTGCCGTAGAAGTTGTCCCAGTTATCAAATAATGGGAATGATATTGACTTGCAATATCTGTTAAGACGGTCGTTGACACCAACTGCCCTTGACAATCATTCACTGCCAACTCTCCTTCTAGGCAGGACACCGCATATGATAGGGATCCCTCCCTTAGTCCTAATAGGATCTATAGCTGCCTTGAACTTATCAAGAAGCTCCTCGCTCCTACACCGGCAGATAATGGGTTTGTTCCCATTACCAGACAAGATATTGTGCATCCTGTCAATTATATCCCCAACCCAGGTCCTGGCAAACACACCCTCATCCTATTTTTGTTTTTACCACAAAAAGCCCTGTCCAAGTACCTTACCTGTGAGTCACCAGCAATTAAAGTTTTTATACCTTCCTTGTCAGCCCTGTCTCTGACTGTACTAACGTTCAATTCGTCCATCAAGGGACTGAACGAGTTGGTACACTTAGCTGCTGATGTCGTTGTTGACGTATCCTTGGTGTGTTTTTCATTACCAGTTTGGTCTGCCCTCTCCTTACAACCTTCCATTCGCTTGAATTTTCGTCAGACACTGGCTTTCCCTGTCCCGCCTCCCCCTTCATTCTCGCCCTCTCTTCTTTAATTTTCAGGTTCTCCAACGTGGCCCTCTCTATTTCTTCCTTGGCCCTCTCCAATTCTTCCATGGTCCACTCCAGCTTGACCAACAAACTCGCAGACATCAGGCCACACATAGCACTGGCCATATCTGATAATTATCCCTCGGGAGCTAACCCTGCCGTGACCTTTCCCCTAGTGAGTTCAGAACACAACTGCTGATGAAATTGGTGTTGTGTTGTGATGGAGGTAATGCTGGTGTTATATTGTGATGGAGGTCATGTTGGTGTTATGTTGTGATGGAGGTCATGTTGGTGTTATGTTGTGATGGAGTTCATGTTGGTGTTATGTTGTGATTGATGTGAAGTTGGTGTTATGTTGTGATGGAGGTTATGTTGGTGTTATGTTGTGATGCTGGTGAAGTTGGTGTTATGTTGTGATGGAGGTCATGCTGGTGTTATGTTGTGATGGAGGTTATGTTGGTGTTATGTTGTGATGGAGGTCATGTTGGTGTTATGTTGTGATGCTGGTGAAGTTGGGGTTATGTTGTGATGGAGGTTATGTTGGTGTTATGTTGTGATGGGTGTTATGTTGGTATTATGTTGTGATGGAGGTCATGTTGGTGTTATGTTGTGATGGAGGTCATGTTGGTGTTATGTTGTGATGGAGGTCATGTTGGTGTTATGTTGTGATGGATGCGAAGTTGGTGTTATGTTGTGATGGAGGTCATGTTGGTGTTATGTTGTGATGCTGGTGAAGTTGGTGTTATGTTGTGATGGAGGTCATGCTGGTGTTATGTTGTGTTGGAGGTGATGCTGGTGTTATGTTGTGATGGAGGTCATGTTGGTGTTATGTTGTGATGGAGGTGTATGTGATGGAGGTCATGTTGGTGTTATGTTGTGATGGATGTGAAGTTGTTGTTATGTTGTGATGGAGGTCATGTTGGTGTTATGTTGTGATGGATGTGAAGTTGTTATGTTGTGATCATGTTGGTGTTATTGTGATGGAGGTCATGTTGGTATTATGTTGTGATGCTGGTGAAGTTGGTGTTATGTTGTGATGGAGGTCATGCTGGTGTTATGTTGTGATGGAGGTCATGCTGGAGTTATGTTGTGATGGAGGTCATGTTGGTATTTTGTTGTGATGCTGGTGAAGTTGGTGTTATCTTGTAATGGAGGTGATGTTGGTGTTATATATTGTAACGGAGGTGTTCAATATTTCAGTGAAGGTTGTTTTTTATACATTAGATATTTTCCCTTTACACGGATCGCGGACTAACAGAAAAACATAATAACGGGGGCACTCGTATACCTGTCTACTTAATTATAAGCTCGATATCTGCCATTTTGTCCATGTTTCTTCTTAATCTATCTCTACGAAAAGCTCCCTTCTCTATCACCTTTCCACGTTCCCTGGTTTCTTTCTTCACTTATACTACTCGTCTTGCTGAAGCGTGTTCCCATCCGTCTCCTAGCATCCTCCATGAGCTCCCTTGTAGCTTGGTTGGCTGACGAGGCCAGATTATTTATAAACTGACCGTTACCGAGGCTGTTAAGGCCACTATTGACGGCGTCGATGTTGTTGGAGATTGTGTCTTCCACGTCAAAATTGATAATGGTGCCCAGGAAAGAGGCCCCGGGAGGAGGCGCCTGCTCTGGACACCCAGCCTGCCACTCCAGCTGCCTCTGTGTCCCAGAATGAAACGGCATGTCCAGCCCACAAAACTCGTACCTGCGAAGTATCATGGATCGAGCAGGTTAAAAAATGTTTCCTCTGAAATAGATAAGGCTTGTTCATGATATTTAACTCGAGCCCAGACAGAGAGAAACTGTGTACAGATAGCAAATTTCTTGCCTGGGAGGAGAGGACATATTCAGTAACGAAGAAAATTGTCGTGTTAGTAATCATAATTAAATTGTAACTAGGAAATTGTCAGACTGTGTCTAGGTCACAGGACGCGTGGCTGTACCGAGGCATTAAGCCCAGGACACAGAAATGGACCAACACACACATTACTGCAAGTGGGATTAACGCGGTCAATGGTTTCACATTTGGTGCTAGAATAGGCTATAGCCAATCACTCTATGAGGGCATATGAGATACAATATGAGGACACGTGAGACACAATATGAGGGCACACCACGACACACCAATACCCACCACAACACACCAATACCCACCACGACACACCAATACCCACCACAACACACCAACACCCACGACAACACACCAATACCCACCACAACATACCAACACCCACGACAACACACCAACACCCACCACAACATACCAACAACCCACCACAACACACCAATACCCACCACAACTCACCCACCACAACACACCAACACCCACCACAACACACCAACACCCACCACAACACACCAATACCCACCACAAAACACCAACACCCACCACAACACACCAACACCCACGACAACACACCAACACCCACCCAACATACCAACAACCCACCACAACACACCAATACCCACCACAACCACCCCACACCAACACCCACCACAACACAACACCCGACACGTACCACACCACACCAATGCCACCACTACACACCACCACAACACCCACCTCACACATCCAATACCCACCCAACACACCCACCACAACACACCAATACCCAACACCAACACACCAACACCCACCACACACCAATACCCACCACAATACACCAATGCCCATCACAACCCCAATCCCACCACAACACACCCCACAACACACCAATACCCACCACAACACACCAATACCCACCAGAACACACCAATACCCACCACAATACCCAACACCCACCACCACACCAATACCCACCACAACACACCAATACCCACCACAACACACCAATACCCACCACAACACACCAATACCCACCCAACACACCAACACCAACCACCAACACACCAACACCACCACACACCAACACCCACAAAACCCCAGTACCCACAACCACACCCCACACACCAATGCACCCCACCCACACACCAATACCCACCACAACACACAACACCCACCACAAAACAAAAAACCACAATACACAAATGCCCATCCACAACACACCAATACCCCACAACACACCCACCACAACACACCAATACCCACCACAACACACCAACCACAACACCAACCACCACAAAACACCAACACCCACCACAACACACACCCACCACAACACGCCAGCACCCACCACAACATCCAACAACCCACCACAACACACCAATACCCACCACAGCTCACCTGCACCAACACACCAACACCCACCTGACACACCCAGCACCCACGACAACCCCAATACCCACCATAACTCACCCACCAACACACCAATACCCACCTGACACACCCACCACAACACACCAGCACGCCACCGACGCAATACCCATCGCCACCCACCACAACCAATGCCACCAACATACCCGTCACAAAACACCAATACCCACCACAACAAACCAACACCCACCACAACACCCCAACACCCACCACAACACACCAATGCCCACCCGACGCACCAATGCCCCACCACAACGCACCAATGCCCACCTGACGCAATGCCACCCAACACACCCGTCGCAACGCAATGCCACCACAACACGCAGCAACACCAATGCCCACCACAGAGCACCCCGTCACAGCGCACCAGCACCACCACAGCCCCAACACCCACCTCACACGCAATGCCCACCGGCACCCAGCACCCACCTGACGCACCAGCACCCACCGACACACCAGCGCCCACCAGCGCACCCAATGCCCACACAGCACACCCACCACAACGCAAACCTGACAACGCACCAGCACCCACCTGCAATACCCGCCACAACACACCCATCGCACGCCAGCACTAACCACCCGCAACACCGCAACGCACCAGCGCCCGCCACCAACACCCGCACAACCGCACCAGTACCCACCACCAGCCGCAATGCCCACCACAACACGCAATGCCCACCACAACACACCCATCACAACACACCAGCGCCCACCTGACACCAACGCCCACCAAAGACACACCAATGCCACCACAACAACCAGCCCACCACAACACACGCCACAACATACGCACCACAACCCACCAGCACCCACCACAACACGCCAATGCCCACCACAACGCAATGCCCACCACACACCAATGCCCGCGCAACACGCAAGCACCCACCACCAGCACGCAGCACCCACCGAACACGCAATGCCCACCACAACCACACCCATCCTGACACGCAACACACCACAACACACCAATGCCCACCACAAAGCACGCCCACCACAACACACAAACACCCACCACAACACGCAACGCCCGCCGCAACACACCAGCACCCGCCACAACACGCCAATACCCCACCACAACGCACCCACCACCAACGCACCAATGCCACCACCAACCACACCAATGCCCACCACAGGCCGCAGCGCCACCACAACACACCCGCAACAGCACACCACCACCACCAATGCCCCGCACAACACCCACCACACGCAATGCCCGCCTGACACACCCACCACAGCACACCAGCACTACCACCACACCACCCCCACCACAACACCAGCCCACCACAACACGCCCCACCTGACGCACCGCCCACCCACCACAACGCACCACCACAGCCGCACCATTCACCCACCTGACTCGCAATATCATCCTGACACTCAAGCCGCGCACCCACCAGTGCGCACGCAATGCTGCACAATGCACCAGCAACCACCACAGCGCCAATGCCACCTGACACGTCCACCGCAACCTGAGCCTGACAACGCAATGCCCACTACCGCCCACGCAAGCCCACCACAACCACCAACGCCCACCACAACATGCCCGTCACAACACGCAACACCCACCACACCTAACACCCACCACAACCACACCAGTACCACACCACACCCACCACAACCCACACCAATACCACCTGACCTGCCCGCCACGCGCACCGCAACCCGACACAACACACCCGCCTGGCGCACCAGTACCCACCACCAACGCACCAGCAGCCACCTACACACCACCCACCTGACCTGGGCACCCACCACGCCGAACCCTCGCAACACAGCACCCACCTGGCTTCCACACCCGCCGACACACCAATGCCCACCGACACGCAATGCCACCACAACCACACCAGCACCCACCACAACGCACCAACGCCATCACACACCAATACCCACCACAGCTCACCCACACCACAACACACCAGCACCCACCACAACACACCAACACCCACTGGCCACGCAACCCACCACAAGCACACCCACCACCAGCACACCAACCGCCACAACAGACCAATGCCCACCACAACAGACCCACCACCAGCACGCAAGCCGCCACCACCAGCACACCCACCACAACCGCACCAACCCCACCCACCACAACCGCGCCAGCCCCCACCACCAACGCAGCCCGCCCACAAACACCTCCCGCACCATACCCACCACAACGCACCATGCCCACCTGCTCACCCAATACCCACCTGCCACCCGCAAAACCGCAATCACCACTGACGCACCAACACCCACCTCAACACCCACCAGACCGCCAATGCCCACCTGCACACCACCAGCACCCACCACGCGCCCACCCAAACCCACCTGACACAACACCCACCACCAACACACCAAGCACCCACACACCAACCACGCCAATCCACCGCAACACACCACCACAACCGCACCAGTACCCCACCTACACGCAATGCCCACACCACAACACACCCACCACAACCACGCCAACACCCACCACAACACACCCACCACAACGCAATGCCCACCACAACCACACCACCTCACACCAATGCCCGCCACAACACCAATGCCACACGGCACCATACCCACCACAACCAGCCCACACCCACCACCAACACACCGCAACCAACCCACCTGACCGCAATGCCGCACACAACGCACCCACCAGACACGCAACACCAGACACACCACCACCACCCTACACCACACCTGCACCACACGCCTTACCCGCAACAGCCGCCCACCACAACGCACCCAATGCCACCTGACTCTAACCATCATGCAACATCACCCACCACAACACACCCACCGCCAGCACACCACCACAACGCACCCAATACCGGCCTGACGCAGCAACCACCGCAACACGCAATGCCCACCTGACATCCGCCACAGCACCGACCTGACAACGCACCAATGCCCACCACAGCCACACCAATGCCCACCACCCACGCAATGCCCACCACAACGCCACCCGTCCGCACCACACCCACCACGACACACTAGCACCCACCGCAACGCACCAATGCCCACCACAACCGCCCACCACGCCTGCACCAATACCCACCACAACATGCCCGTCACAGCACACACCAATGCCCACCACAAGCACACCACCGACACGCAATGCCACCACAACACACCAGCGCCCGCCACCAACCACACCAGAGCACCCACCACCAACACCGACACCCACCACTGCATCAATGCCCGTCCGCACCAGCACCCACCACAACCCACACCAGCACCCACCACAACGCCCAATCACCACCACAACCCGCAATGCCACCACAGCACACCCAGCACCCACCGGCCCAGCACCCGTCACAACACCAATGCCCACCACAGCTCACCCCACCACAACACCAGCACCCACCAACACCCAGCGCACCAACACGCAATACCCACCCAGCCACCCACCTGACACACCAGCACGCGCCACAACCACGCCAGTACCCACCACAACAGACCCACCACAACCACACGCA